GTTGCATCATGTAATTAATCTTAGCTCATTGTTGACGTGTCATCGTGTATCATTCACGCATCTGTTTCTGCGGTTATGGATGCGATGCGATAGCGAGCAATGGTCTCTACTTGATTTAATTTTGCTTTAGACATGACAAGTAAGGAATTCCGACTAATACTCTGATACAGGGTGAGCTGACTGACTCGCATCAGACTGGCAGTATTTCATCGTATAATGCCGTTTGTCTTAATTTTTTCGGAATTTTGAATAGTCATTGTAACCATGATCACGGTAGACCTTTTGCCAGACATGGAGCCCTTTTACCAAGATCCACACAGTTCCTGAACTGGTGAACTGGCTCAATCTTTTCACGTGTGATTTTGGTCGAATCATGAAGCAAGTGGAACTAGAAATAAGTTTGGCTCTGTCTGGGGTTTTAAGTGTGCCTCAGAGATGCAAAAAAGATGTCACATGAACCACATGAGGACCATTTTCCCCACGTCAGTGGAAAATTGCGCCTTTAGGATCTGCTTGCCTCAGGAAACCTTAGCTTAGGAAAGCGGTTTTCTCAGCACTTTTCCTTCCTTTCCCGAGAGGACGCCATAAAAAAAAGTGTGACTCGAGTGAGGGTATTGAGCATGGTTCACCTTCGCAGTACTGTAAATAGGGGAATAATTATGGATAGGTTGTTTACAAGTCATTAAAGCAACAAACCATTCCCAAACATTAAGAAATGGGAAACCAATGGGCTCTCATTCGGCACCGCAACGCTGTGTCAACATTGAACAAAGGTTGATTTTTCAACGTAACAATGTTGTCTCAATGTTATGCAGAAGGTTGCCTCGATGTTGAAGCAATGTTGAAATGAAACACAGTTCAACATTGAAAATGCGTAGTGCCGGCGTTGAATTGTCAACGTTTCAGCATTACAGTACCTCTTCCATTTCTGGAGTCTGAAAGAGCGCTAAAATCGATGGAATGACGAAATTTCATGCATATTAAATTGATGATAGTACTCCGTTAATAACTGCCATCCTACCCTACGGGGGACCACAGCAAGGATCTCTATGTGAGATGACTGTACTCTTCTGAGTATTAACATCCCGGAAGAGTCCTGCTGTGGCGTATTTCCTTTGCTGGATCTGCATTCGAATGGAGTACTTATGTGATACAACTCTTTCTGACCAGTAAAGGAAGTACATGTCTAGCATCATCCCCGGATTAAGAAGAGGAGTCAGACACATCTTTACAGGCCAATTATTACACTTCATCCCTTCTCGAAAGAGACGTGAAAGCCTATGAACGCCATGTAGAGACATTACATGTTTCCTCGGACCCACTGTCCATTAATACTTGGAGTCTCCTTCTGCAGGATTACTTCCTTAAACAGGTATATCTAGGAATTCCAAAGCCTTACCTTAAGTTGTATGTGGGAAAAGATCGGATACCGTGTGAAAAAATGCAGGGGACTCATTCCAATGGCATGAGGGTGAGAATCGCTGAATCGGAGATTAGGCGCCATCTCGCGCTGATTGGTGGAACCTATTTAAATATGGATGTCTCAACCATGTCTCAGCATTTCAACCTGCTATCAATGTTGACACAACGTTGTTGTGCCGAAGGGGTTCTATTGCCTTTCATTTCAAACAAAGAACTGTCAAGTTTTTTGCTGAAGAGGAGAAGGCTCTGGAGATGTACGATATTTGCAACAACATGCCACTAAGGATTTGAAGTATGTACCTGAAATGAGAATATATGTTTTCGACACTTGGGGCTAAGTCTAGACGACTGAACCAATTTGGGTCTGAACTTGTTTCATAGATTGGATGCTGGAATAACGCATTCGCTGCCATCATCGACTCGAGGACTAAGGAAATACATTTTCCTAAGAATTTTCAGCGGTTGCCCGTAGCATCCCTACAGATCTGCAAAATGACATTTGTAGAGATTTCGTCTAAGGCCCTCGGTGTGCAACCTTTATCAGCAGTGATCCGCATGGAAATGTCTGGCTCATCACGCGGGTCACGGAATGCAAAAGAAAAGGCTCCCCTATTTTGCCCTTAGGATGAGGTCGCGCTGATTGCCCAATGACCCTTACTTCTTCCCCTATGAAATTCCAACGCCAAAAAATGGCCTTTGGCATCGAGAATCTCCTTCCTGGAACAATTGTAGCACCGCCCGCGTGAGAAATAGTTAGGGAAAGGAAAGTGAAAGGGCTCAGTCTATTTCTGGTTACTAATGGATGACCAAAGTTGTGATGGACCTTGGGCCGCAAAAGAAACAAATTTTCATCCATTATCCCATTATGAATTAACGGGCCGCATGAAGCTTTGAGGCTAGTTAATTCGGAATGCTACGTGGTATCGTGACGGCCGCCAAACGGAGCCAGTTCCATTTAGATTAGTTGGATTCCCCTTTTTCAAAAGGCACAGTCAGAAGATGCAAGCTGAGATGTTTTCAACGATCATGTAGGCATTTAGAGGAAAATAAGATTTGGAAGCAGACATATTAAGTATTTAAATAATATTGCAAAGAAATGATGCACGACTTTTTGGAAATTTAGATAAATAATTCTTGTGTTTTTAACATGTATTTTCCCATGTTCTCAGACGAGAGGCATCACCCACGCAAATGATCAAATACCTAATCCACTCTATCTGTTACTGTTGGTTTCGGAGGTTAAAAGCTGGCAGTGAATGTGTAGCAGAGCCAATTGTGAGCCATTATCTGTATGAGCAAATTAGCAGACCAGAAAATCTGGTCAGCTGCATTGCCTAATACTATCATAATATTTTGCATCATGCGTATTCTGAGATGTTTTTGTATTCAATCTTTGAGAGAGGCTTTGATATTCCAGCTCCAAGAGACGCGACGCATGAGACGTACGAAATATCCAAATAAGGATGAAATATATATTTTTCATCACTACAGGTATTGCATGTGTGGAGAAAAAACTGATTCGGACTCACTAGAATTGATATACGGAAAGACTTGAGGAAGGCATTGAAAAGTCACAAGTGAGGAGTAGTGTGATGCTACTCGGGATACGCACTACTTCAAAGTCTTTGATACAGTAGTGCGACTCAAGATCCATTGGTTTCTTTTCACATGCCAGCCGCTCGCACTTTCAACCCATGGATAGATAATCTCGAGGCATTGAAAACTGCACACACGATGTGCTTCATCTGTTATTTTCTATCTTGTGGCGTAAAGGAAAACAAATCTATTGATATCTCGACTACGGGTAGTCTACTCTACTCTAGTCTAGTACATATTGCGTTAGATGACGTTAGATGACATGCGTTAGATGACGTTAGATGACATGCGTTAGATGACGAAGTAGTGGCTGCCCCTTCTGTGACTATCTTTAAGAAGAAACTAGATGCTTTCATGGACAGGCAAAAAGGTGGGGGGCAATGTTGACAGTACTAGTACCAGTACCAGTCTAGTACCAGTACTATCTAGTACTATCTAGTACTGTCTAGTACTATCTAGTACTATCTAGTACCAGTACTGTCTAGTACCAGTACTAGACAGTAAGCAACTAGGATAGTAAAAAAAAAAAACCAAACAAAAACACAAAAATATTTAGCTTTAAGNGACAGTAAGCAACTAGGATAGTAAAAAAAAAAAACCAAACAAAAATACAAAAATATTTAGCTTTAAGAGGGTTAGGCCTACCCTAAAATTAAGGAACGCTCGACCTCGACACGTGATATCGAAATGGGCGAAATCGCCTCTTGATATCACTAACTCTCCTGACTCCTGATATTGCATTTCCGCGTCCCAATGGGACTGAATGCATTGTACTTTCGTGCAAGGTGCATTGTACATGGGGTGTGACAGCAATCAGGTGGATGCGATCGTGTCTCAACTGCTTTTCCATATTCTGATGGGTATGAACGGCTCGAGTTCATGGTGCTCAATTGTGTGAACTGTGCAAGTACGAACTCTATGCAACTTGTCAACATTAGCTGGATTCGGTTTCTTCTGAAAGAGGTGGAATGGATGGCGACTTGATTGGGTGAGCCCTGCTTGTGCAAATGCATTTGTGGTTTCCTCCACCACGTGCTCGTCCCCTCCCCTGAGCTACCAGTGCGTGACTCGGAACGTGACGTTACCATCATCGCTCCACAGAGCTACCCAAGGGTGGGGGAAGAGGAACGATCGTGATCTGCTCACTTTTCTCACCCATCCTGACCTATCGTTCCATGGCGATCCCATTGCTTCAACCTGGAACCGCTTCTGCGTAACGTCCTACATTCGTATCTTGGATTTATTCGTCTCGCGATAGAACCTGTTTCTCTCGACAAATATGCCAAGACTCACATTCACCCGGTTAATACGGGTTCTTCAATGGCAGGATAAATTTGTTCAAGATTGCAGGATGGCAGGATATATTGAGTGCCAGTATCTCAGAACTATGAGTTTCGAGATACTGAACACGTAATTGCTGAAGCCGAGAAACATTTATCTTGGGCTAGATCGGGTTCCTGTTAGAAGAGTGCAGAGGAAAGAGCGCGTTCGGAGCGCTTCATAACGTCGGTTACTCGAAGGTGAAGGTCAAGAAATCGTATCATATGATCACGCTGGAACGAAAGAGAGACATGAACCTAGCTAGCAAGGATTCACCAACAGAGAGAAATCCAGAGGTATTCTTACTCTTGGTGAGCAATGGTAAGTCGGGAGATGGCATCATCTGATCATATGACTTCGACCCATATGACTCTGACCCATATGACTTCGACCCATATGACTCTGACCCATATGACATGTACCCATATGACGTTGACCCACCATAAAGATGCTAATGATGACTTCGTCCGTACGTCCGCATTGAAATATTTAGTTGTTTTGGACTTGGAGCAGATACTGAGAGCGTTTTTTCCGGGTTCAATATAGAATTTACAATGTATTTATGCAATGTATTTTATTATTATTAAAAAAGCAGCGCTCGGTGTTTTTATGAGTTGGATTTTTCTTTCATATTGGAAAAGTAGAAGAAGAGGATCTCTGACCTTCATGTAGAACCACACGATGCCTATGAGGGTCCGATACCAGAGAGGCAGTTGCAAGAAGATGTTGGTCCTCACCACACCCGGATGGAGGCTGTTCACCGTCACACCTGAACCGAGCATACCGTTAACCATCAGTCCCACAGACGCCATAGTCTACAGAAGACCGAATGAATGTGGAAAGGAGAGCTTGGATGGTCGTACGGGAACCCTGGAGGCGGCGAGCAAGCTCCTTCACCATCAGTATCTCGGCCAGTTTCGCATCCGAATAGGCGTTCAATCTGTAGAAGTATTTTTCGTAATTGAGATTCTCCAAGTTCATCGTTCCTAAGGCGTGGAAAAACGACGAGACCACCACGACTCGACTCTCTCCCTCCGATCTCTTCAGCACGTCTGCATGAAAATTGTCCCCAAAAGAGATTAACCCTGATTCAAAGAAAGAGCCTCTACACCCTTTTTTTAAATTCCTTTCGGCTTCTGTGACGGACTTGGCCCGATTACATAAAAATCTCGTGCAGCCAGCCGAGAAGCTTCGTTGTCGACTTAAATGTAGTCCATGACGCCGATTGTCACAAATTAAGACGAACATCTGCAGAAGTGCCAAATGTATCGCCAAAGTAGAAAGCCAAAATATGTATATCTTTTGGCTTTCTGTATCTCACAAATTTAAAATCCACTCGAAAATAAAACAGATATCGGAATTCCCTCTGTTCATTGCATTGATTAAAATCCTGAAGCTATCCTGATGAAACTCGATGCGAGGCATTAACCTTTAAATTCATTTTTCCCCTCCAACGGCAAACGATGCAAAAGGAACTCGTATTGTCCACTCAGAAATGGAGCAACCCAGAAAGAGAACTCAAAAAGAGTACGGCAATGAACAAACCTAGGAGGGAGTTGACGAGCAGAAAGTTGCTGAAGTAGTTGACGGCCATGTTGTACTCGAGGTCGTCCTCGGTCAATTCCTTCGGATAGCTCACTTTCCCGGCGCCGGCGTTCAGGATGAGGACGTCCAATTTTTCCTCCTCTGCCCGTATCCTGTCTGCGAGTGCCCTCACCGTCTGCAGTCGAGTCAGATCCACGTATCGGACCTCGATTTTGGTATTCTTCGTCGATGCAGCGATCCGTTCTACGTTTCGTTCAGCAATACTCGACATCGAATCAGAATTATAAGGATGCAATCCATCGTAAAACTTGAGTGAGCTTACTGGCAACGATTTCTGCTTTCTGGACGTTTCGACATGCTAGAAGTAGCCTTGCACCTCTGGCAGCCAACTTCACAGCCGTTGCCTCTCCTATTCCTGTGTTTAGGAAAGTCATTCCCTGAATAATTACATACAGCAAAGGATGCAACAGAGAAGTTGCGTCTACACATATTGCTGCCCCAGATCGTCGACGAAGATTGACGGAACTTTAAAGTACCTCCGTAAAAAGTAGGGAACGTCTAGAGCAGGGCTTCCCAACCTTTTTCACGCGTGACCTCCTAAACCACGATCAGGATCACGATTCAGGACCCCAATAACTGGCCGAAGTTCGACAGACTCCTCCCCAATGCACTAAAATCTCAAAGAAAAATAACACTTGGTTTTTAGCTGCTGGTTCGCGACCCCATTTGAGGTCGCGACCCTGGGTTGGGAAGCGCTGATCTAGAGTATTCTTCAGAAAGAAGAAGCAGCGCACGATGGAGCCATAGAGCAGGCAGAATGAAGAGAATTAAAAAAATTCATCCTTTTACTCTCACAATCATTCCTCCCTTCTAAAAAATGCACACCCTTTCCACACGTGTGGAACGCATGTGGTCCGCTCATGTGGATTTGGTCGGGTGTGGAATTTCCTCATGAGGAATAGGGTAAACCAGTTTTTAGCCACTTAAGCCCTAGTTTTTGGCCACGCTGATACGCCTCTCATAGGAAGTGGACACCCTATGCACACACCAATGCAAAGTATCCTGTGAAAATGGAATTGACGATGCTGAGGAGAGCAGACAACGTCTAACCGACAGCTATGAAGAAATTAAGTTCTAGTGGAATCCGTGCCCGAAAGATCTATCTGCAATCCATGGCTCGATAAGAAAAGAGTGGAAAAAGAGAAAATTCCACAAAAACTGGGAGAATTCACTGGGTAAATTGGATCACGTGTTTTAATCCGAGCCTGTGGACGCAAACCAAAATCAACTGTCTTTTGATTTTGGTCTTAACTGCCCCCTGATCGACAGATAAAATAAGAAAGGGAAAGAAGAAGGCAGTGGAAGAGGAGAGGCACAGTTGAGTATAGAAGGCGAATGGCCTATGCCCATTCCCTGAAATTTGTACTGTCAGGCCTGGGATTAACCCAGGTTTATGACTCAGAGGCTAGCCCTAGTCTCACAGAGTGGAAGCAGGCCATCGACTGGCGAAACACATTATTACCCATGATAATAAAATTACTCTATAGGCTCGTTTTTAGGAAATTTGAAAAGAATTCCATACCAATGTAGTAATCTTTGTAACTACAGCCCATAGGCAAAAAATTCTCGAAACAGATCTACCAGGGTTTCATGTAGAAGGTCCAAGGGGATTTTTGTGTAAAGGGTGCTAAAGTCCCAAGAAAGTACTGTCTGCGCTTCTTCAGCTACATTGATATTGCTCGTTCCGGATGCCGTCCCGATAAGGTTAAAGAAAATTGCAGTCATTTGCGTTAGACATTCGAACTCTGCAGTGCAGTCGCGAGAAGGGAGCCTTTAGAGATGGCACAGTTGCGCTCTGCGCAAGAAGCTTTGGCCCTCTGGTTTCATGGACCCCTAGTAACGAAACGCTCTCTACATTGCTTTCAGATTGAATTTGTGATCCCACTCCATAGGAGGTTTCCGTCGATTGTTGTTAACAAGCATCCAGTGACAGGAGAAGCATAGAGCTGCACCCTACGCAAGTGTGTGCAGTGACGGTTGTCCACAATTTACCAAGAATTGCTTTTAAGCAATGAAATTTCCTTTGGCTGAGTATTTCCCTTTTTTGCACTTCATTTTTTTAGGATCTTTGAAATGAATCATCAGGTTTGTATGAGAAATTAAAGAAAAGTATTAAAAAAATAACGCAATGAGAAAATAAAAATTATCCAATCTCAAGGTCAACATGAATTGCCTGATATTACACCTCCTTTCCTCATCCCTACCATTCCTCGTCCACACCTATTCCCCTCAATGACCAAACTCTCTCCATACCCGTTCCACCCCCTTCCACACGCGACTCAGAGCCGTCCACACGATATCCACACCATTCCACACCCGTTCCACCGTGTGGATGTTTTTCTTTTTAAAGGGCTGTGAGCTCAATCAACGCCTCTCTTTTTAAAAATTACTTAGAATTACCTTCCTAAGACCTAGGTGTCCAGAAAATACCTAGTAAACATTTTAGTACAAATATTTGAGTCGTGTGTAAGTGAAATAATTCGGAATATTGTCAACAAATTAGCAGTCACTAGTTTGTTATAATAGTGTCTTTGCTTTAGTTCATCAACTCTTCAGGTGCTCGAAATGTCGGCCTTCTGCATTAAGAAACATTTCATACCGAGTTGTAGCCAATCTGCAACCAGAAACAGCCAGGTCCCTGTGGTATTGCTTGAAATGTATCAGCGATATGTGCCCGAAGTTCATTCAGACTGGTGGACTTCACTCGGTAAGCCTCATCCCTGACGAACCCCCAAGTGAAAAATCCATAGGAGTGAGGTCGGGAACGTGGAGGACGTTCATTCCGGCTAGCCTCTTACTCACGCTGAACTGACTCATTCTCATATTTGTACGCCTGTATCACACTGATTCTTTGTTCTTTGGTGAGTCAAAATGATCCACTACTCCGTTCCGCCATTTTTTTTCAAGTTTTGAATCTCCCAGTTGACCTAAAATCCATCGCTGCAGCAAATAAATAAATAATAATGAGTTTACTAGGTATTTTCTGGACACTCTGTAGTTCTATTTGCATGCACTCTTGACCCGGTTGTGCAGTCCTGCCCGCAACTAAATTCCCTAAATTAAATTTCTGCTTGCAGTTTATTCACCCAGATTTGGAAGGACCTTATAAGAAAAGACTTCATAATTAGAATGACTCCTGAGGTGAAGCCACCAAGTGTCCCCACTTCGGGGGCAAGGAAAAGGAGCTTTCTGGTCAGCAGTGACGTACCCCAACCGTATTCCTGGAATCTCAACTCCCTTAGACAGAGAACAGATTCCGACCTTAGAAGAGTTGATGCGGGCTGGGTTATTTGGACGCTGCTGAAATTCCTAAGAAAATGTGAATTTTCATACGTGCAAAGGTTCCAGTTGAAATTATTGAGAATTGGGGGGCCATGCGACCCCCTGAGGAAAAAGTCGAGAGACGTGGGATCTGACCGGAGGTGGCACCAGTGATGAGAATGGTCTTCCCATCCAGTCTCCTCCGAGAGTGACACTTCCGATGCGTCGCCATGAGGTACACCTTCGCCCCGATCAACACGACCAGTATCCACACCAACCATATGACCGCCTCCATCTTGAAAGGTCTCTCGACTGCACGGTCACGACGAGTCCCGAGAAGGGATATAGGGGAAGGGGAAATCCTTCGTCATTATCCTTGACAGAAACGAGAGGAAAAAAGATAGATGTGAATCGTCAGATTCAGCATTTCTTCCCTGCCTTTTCCTCGAAATGCAGAGGTGACTCAGACTGGAAGAAACTACTTTGTACTGCTAGCAAGCAGACAATCCACGATGATTCCATCGTCTGCGTATCGTGAGACAGGAGCCAAGGAGCTCCTCTGCGTGATAACACCGGAATCTTCCCAATGACATGTATAATTAAGTGCTGTACAAAATTTAGGTTCGTGGGAAATATGGCAGGAGGCTTCTGCATTGTGTCATGTGTCATCTAGATAGTCTCATCTATTCCTCAACAGTAGAGTCTTCGATCCTTCCTTGCCCTGGCCTTACGATGTCCACGATATCATGCAACGAATACCCTGCCCAGAGAAAAAAAAGTTACTTTTATTCAAACTTATCTCAAATTATTGGTCATGAGATAGCATTTTTTTATTTTTCAAGAAGGGACACACGATTGATAGAAAAGCTGGATAATATGACAAAATTCAGCTTTAAACTTCGATTGCAGGACCAGAAATACTACCATCAGTGTTCGTGAAATTGATCACTAAGCGCTTGGACGACGGCTAGAGCGGCGAAACCAAGCCCGACGAAGAAGAACTTGAGAAGACCCGGCGGTCCTCGAGAGCTCTCTTTCTCCTTCTGGAGAACTTCGAACACAGCCACGTACAGCAGAGTCCCGGCCGTGAGACCCTGAAGGACTCCTAAACTCAATGGATCCGGGCCTGTCTCTTCGATTAGGATTCCCAGACCGACCCCGACCGGCGAGAAGATGGAGAACAAGGTGAGATACAGAGCCATGATGGGCACTCGGGTGCCGACGGACACCATCTCCGTTCCCAGGGACAAGGCAATCATGTATTTGTGAGTGGCGATGGCTGCAAACACGATCCAGACGTTGGTCGTGTCTTCTTCCAGCCCGATGGCCAGACCCTCGAACAAGGCATGCAGAGAAACGGCGATGGTGACGACGAGATTCCGAAGACTCGCCTTCCACGTCGTCGAAGGCTTGCCGCCGTCGTCGGCGAGAGGGAAGTGGGAATGCGCCGCCTCCGCGTCGTCTTCGTCTCGGTACAAGTCGCTGCCTTTCCTCGCACTCATTCCCTCCATGATCTTTTCCGTCTCTTTTTCCTTCCCCTTGGTTCGTTTCAAGATCACGGACGCGATCTCTTCGACGAGGTAGATCATGAGACATCCGAGGCCGAGGGTGAGTTCTGCGTACGGGAAGTGAGTGTCGCACATGGCCGGAAGATCATCGCTCTCGCCGTGACCTCCATCTTGAGTGCTATTGTGATGGTGATCTTGATGGCTGCAGACGGCGGCGAATTGTTCCCTAGCCTCGGGGAGCATGTGAAGGAAGCACGTAGATAAGAGGATCCCTCCTCCTAAGCACATGATCAAGGAGAGAACCCGGCGAATCTTGCTGGATTCTATTCTTTTCCTCTCAAGTTGTTTCTTGACGACCAGTGGTAGGAACCCGATCGTGATGGACCCGAAAGTGAGCAGGATCAGGGTTGTGATTTTCGTCCCCGTAATATTCATATTTCTTGCTGTCGAACTTCGAAAGAGACTTCTATCTTAGGGTCGTCGACTCGTGATTTCGGCGTTCTGAAAGCTCACCCTCTTCTACGAAATAAAAAGTATTTACGAATGCAACTACTCGAGATTATCAGCAAGAGCGCGGAATCTCCACAAGCGGCTTGAGTGCAAGAAAAGCAAATCACCGTTTTTCACGAGAGCGTGGATTCCAGAGGAGCGTTCCGAGTGCAGCGATCGAGATCACAGCTTAGAGAGATGACTTCCGGAAGGGCGTCCCGAGTGCACAAACTTGGGTCACAGCCTAACAAAGGCGAAGAGCGTACCGAGTGCACCGTTCGAGGTCACCTCATGTTGGACCGTGTTATCTGCGTTCTAAGTCTGTCTCGCTTCCATCGCCATCTCTTATCTTCTTACGAAGCGCGAGATAAGCAAAAAACCTATTCTACTGATTTGTCGTATCCGAGAATGGGATGCTTTCGGATATTATCGAGAGCATGCCATAAAAGGAAATTCTTGGAATAGAACTACCGGATACATTGCCGTTTCCCGACGAAGAAATATTCAGAACCAAGAACGACAGAGGTTTTAATTTCAGCTTTTCTCATTCAGACCCGACTCGTGGTCATGCATCATTTATAAATTACGGCTCGAGTTATCTTTTCAGGTACTTGAGATTATTGACATTCCCAGTAGACTCGTTTGAACGATCGTCAGTCGACTCCACGGTGGATTCCAAGAGGCCCTCAAGGACAGGAAGCGGTGACCCCACTCAAGTTCAAGGTCCAATTTCGAACGAGTCCTTCGTACTTCCCGACCGGATGATTTTCTAATCTCGTCACTCGTCCCAAGTGTTCAAGTTCCCACCTCCACGGGTTTCAAGGTTCAAAGTCTAAAGTCTAAGATTCAAGGTTAGGATTAGGACGCGTAGAGGCCTTTCTCCCTGAATAGACTCCCAATGTCTCTGTCTCTCGCTCATCTTAATCCTCTTTCCCGATTCTGAGATGACCCCTTCGTCTCAGTCTCTTCTTCAGCTACATACAACTATATCGATCTTTTTTTGTATCGTCCATGAATGCATCTAATCTCGTCTGGAAACTATGAACGGGGAGGGGAGCAGGGGCGGAACGGGAGAAGACGGTAGGAACAGGACAGGAAATGGGAATGGGACACCCAATGCGTTCTGCGCAGTTTCAGCTCATTTCCCCTCCAGCTGCTGCTACCGTCGACTTGAAAGAAACCGCCGCGTTCCACGTACCCGATTACTTGCTAATATTGACCTACAGCCTTGGATACGCATTTTCAGTCGAAAATTCTTCATAATTTTCCCGTAACGAGACGAATCCACACGAACGTTCCGTTCATTGGAATCCCTCATATTATCCCTCGTCGAGCGAAAAGAGCATTGGGTTGTGCATATCCTTTTGCCGTCTAGCAATACGAGGGTACCGTTGTTAACTCGAGATCGACCGATGGATCGGACCTGCATTCAGAGAATACGACAGGTGACACGTCGGTAGGGACCCCGACTCGACCGTCTCGAGGTTCTTCGGTAGGGAACCCGATGTCGATGGTCGATTCGTGGGGCAGCGGACGAAGGAGAGCAGCAACCCCCAGGGGCAGGGCTCTCGCTTCAAAAGCCCGGGCCAATACTATCTTTATTTCACCGGGCCGATAAAGAGGAAGGAGGATGCTGAAGAGAATTCATCTATGGTCCCCCTATCTACCGATACAGCTCCTACTTTCCACCTAAAAAAAGGAACGATGATTCTCAATCATGCTCTTCCCTTCATATTTTACGTTCAAACGTAATGGAAATAACTTTTCAAGCTATTCCTGTATCGTGGATTTTTATTAACCCTACCTGGCTCTATGACTCCCTTAGCTTCCCTACAGCCAAAATGCCAAGTAAAAGAATGCTCACAGGATAAAGCAATCTAAGACCTAAAACATGGACAAAAGCTCTTCGAGCAGGTGAAGGGGCCGAAAATGCCATATGCAAGTCATCATCACGATCTTTGACTAGCATTTTGTGTCCACCGTCGGATGCCCTTGCAGATGCCCTTTCATCTTGTCCTCGGCGACTCGGATCCTTTTCACTCATTCAGAACTCACTCGATGACTCGTCCATTCTTTGGTCTTCCCTTCTGACTTTCTTCCTGTCTCGGTTTATTCGTGGCAAATGACTAGGTCTTTCGGTGATCTCCCGTAGGCGGTAGGTGCGGAACGGATCCCCACAATTTCTTATTTATTTATAGCTCGTCGGTTCTTGGTTGATTCTCGATTTAATGACAAACTCTGCATTTTCTACGCATTGGTTCTAGAAAGAAACTCGGAATGAAAGCACGTCCAAGGTAATGAAGTGAAATATCTGAACTTGCTCTCGGAGAGACACCTTTAGAACTTCTAGCCTTCGCCTGTAATTCCTCAAATGGACGTGAAACCGGAACAGAACACCGCTTACTAAAAAAATACTGCACATGCTCCGGAAAACAGACGTTTTCCACGCGATGTCAATGACTCATGTACAAATACCTGTAGTGAGGTCAAGGAGTAGAGCCAGGGCAGGTTTCTAACCCTTAGTATGCAGTACAATATCACAAGTCCGCTACTTTAGAAATGGAAAATTACAGTAAAAAATTTTTAATGTGATCATATCGGGAATGAAACAACGGTTCTACACTCTTAGAAGACAGTGAGCGATTTCCTCGAAAGGGAGCGAAACTGGAGTTAGCGATTTTACTCTCTAAAAACGAGGAAGTACAATCGATAACCACTCCATTATATGAGCAGAGTCTATAACTTTTTTAAGAGCGCTAAACGAAGGAGGGAGAGTACTTTTCAAACTAGTAGAAAAAGTTAGTGGTTATTCTCAGGAAAGAGAGAGGTGAGCGGCAATACTTCCCTTATTTTAGGGAGTAAAATCGCTAACTCCAGTTTCGCTCCCTTTCGAGGAAATCGCTCACTCTTTTCTAAGAGTGTACACTCCAATATTCTGAATGTTGATCAGGCTCCAACTTCCTTTCCCCATTCAGCACGAGAACGTTGTCAACATTGAGCAAAGGTTGATTTTTCAACGTAACGATGTTGCCCCAATGTCGAGAAAAGGTTTAAATGAAACACAGTTCAACGTTGAAGAGTTGCTGCTGAACAAAGTTGTGTCAACGATGAATTGTCAACATTTGGGCATTACAGTACCTTCGTCCTTATCCAGTGTCTGAAATAAAGTTATTATCGATTAGGCGATGAGATTGAATAGAGATTCGACAATACCCCGGAGGCCTCCCAAGAGGTATGATACAAGCAGTCCTATATTGAGTATAGTCATCCCACGAGGAGGACCCTCAGAGGTTATATTTCCTTTTTACTGA